GGGCAATTTGTGTACATTGTGAGTTAGGCCAGTTCGGCCTAATGTCCAGTCAGGGTTACTATAGCTCCAGTGAAACTCCATGACCCAAGCAACCTGGGGAGGAAAGCGTTTATTTGGGCTTACGTTTCTACATCACAGTCCAGCACCGAAGGAAGTCAGGGCAGGAACTCAAACAGGGCAGGAACCTGGAGGCAGGAGCTGATGCAGAGGCCATGGAGGGGTGCTGCTTTCTGGCTTGTGGCACATGCCTTGCTCAGCCTGATTTCTCACAGAACCCAGGACCACCAGCCCAGGGACGGCACCACCCACAATGGGCGGGGCCCTCCTCCACCAATCACTAATTAAGAAAATATCCGACAGGCTTGCATATAGCCAGATCTTATGGAGGTATTTTCTCTTTGACGACTCAAGATTGTGTCAAGTTGGCATAGAATTAGCCAGCACACCTACCCACCAAACCCCGTCTCAAAAACAAACTCAGAGCTGAAGGTCAGTGCACAGACTATCAAACATTTTGCTCCTGGAAGCCTATCGATAATGGGGACACTCCTAGGCTAAAGGGTGACGGGTGTGACTTCGCCATAGAGCCCTTGTGTAACATACATAAGGTTTCTATCCCCAGCAACAAGGAAGAAAAACCCAAATCCTCCATTCCAGCGGACCTCAGTCACATTGCACTTTGTCACAGAGAAGAGCCGTGGTGCCTCATCTAGGCGCCGAGAGAGAATCCAGCAACAACGGTCCACCCACCCTTATCTTAATCTTGCAGGTCTCAAGGTCCCTGCTGGGTGCCTCGCAGCAAGACCTGTTAGTATAAACTATACACAACCACATATAACTATATGACCGGCTCCAAGGTTGAGGGGAAGGTTTTTATTGTAGATACGAGGGAGAATAAAGCCAGAGTCATCTGGATGGGTCCAGAACAGGGAGAGAAAGTCGTACACTGATCGTGGCCAGAGCCCACAGGTCATGGGGCCGGGTGGGGGTTGGCGAGAAAAGAAGACAGAGTGGGCTGACGAAATGAGGAGAGCGAGAATGCATGGCCGAAATAGTAGGATTGTAAGGGAAAGGAGAAGTCAGGGGAGGGAAGCCTATGAGCTGGAGAACTTTTGGGTAGGAGGCAGGGTGAGAAGAGCTGCGAAGAGCCACTGGTACTGGGGATACTGAGCGAGCCTGGAGGCCAGCGTGAGCTTTGATATGCTAATGGACACCACAGATAGCCTTTTGTTTCTTTTGGACCTGACCTTGTTATTCTCTTTACACAGGCTGCTTTGCTTTGACCCAACACTCTGCTTCACAAAAAAGTTACATAAAAGCCACGTTTTCCAAATCCTCTGTCTCCCCTGCTTCGGGAACCCGCCCCAGGAGTTCTTCTCCCCCAAGCTTCAAGTCAGTAAAAGGCAAGCTATCTTCTGACCCCCCACACACACACACCTTTGGTGTGGAACAAACGCATCCTACACCCCAAAATAAATACCACCAGTGCTGGAGTCCTCAGCATCTCTGGGAGCCCTCATCACGAAAGAGGCTCAGAGAGCCACTCAGAGACATGCCTATGCTTAGAAAATGGAATGGGGCATGAAGAAGGAAGCCAGAGGGTTAGAAAGAGAGGTGGGAAAGAACAGAGGAAGGACCGTGGGGTGTCTAACAGTAAAACTAACACAGGCCAGGCGGTGGTGGCACACGCCTTTAACCCCAGCACTCGGGAGGCAGCGGCAGGTAGACCTCGGTGAGTTCGAGGCCAGCTTGGTCTACAAAGCGAGTTCCAGGACAGAGACATACAGGTCCACTTGACTGCAGAAGATTGTGAGAAGCTAGGCATGGTAACTGACGCCCATAATCTCTACAATTGGGAGGCTAAGGTTGGATGGCCATGAAATTTTGTTATTGTTTGCTTTTGGGATAAAGTCTCTCTGTGTAGCCTTGGATGTCCTGGAACTCGCTCTGTAGATCAGGATGGCCTTGAACTCAAAGAGATCCAGCTGCCTCTGGCTCCTGAGTGCTGGGATTAAAGGTGTGTGCCACCATGCCCAGCTTTGTATTGATTTTGAGGCCAGGCTGGGTGACAGAGTGAGACTCAAAAGCATAACAAGATTGTGAGAGATGGATAAACAGAGGAGAGCAGAGAGGGATGTAATATGGAGCCGGGAAGGGGGAAGAAGAGATGGCCCAAAAGGAAGAGGCAGAGAATGTTGCTCAGCCTTCCAGGCACTTAGGAAGTCTTTTGTTTGCCTAGCCCAAGCTTGAAGAAGCTGGGACCCAGAAGACAGTCACAAGGCCCACTGGAGAGGGAAACAGTGCATACAGTCAGGAGGTATTAAGATTGTGGAAGCCCAGGACAGAAAGAGGCCAGGAAACCAGGACCTTTAGGCACAGCTGAAGAGCCAACCACACCTGTGGGGCCCTCCTGTGGTGATATTGTGTTCCCCAAAATATTGTGCACCCTAATAAACTTATCTGGGGTCAGAGAACAGAACAGCCACTAGATATAGAGGCCAGAAAATGGTGGCACACACGCCTTTAATCCTAGCATTCCAGAGGCAGAAATTCGTCTGGATCTCTGTGAGTTCAAGGCCACACTGGAAACAGCCAGGTGTGGTAACAAGAGCCTTTAATCCCAGGAAGTGATGGCAGAAAGCAGAAAGGTATATAAGGCGTGAAAACCAGGAACTAGCCCAGGATTTCGAGAAGCAGTTCAGCTGAGATCCATTTGGATGAGGACACAGAGGCTTCCAGTCTGAGGAAATAGGATCAGCTGAGGAACTGGCAAGGTGAGGTGGCTGTGACTTGTTCTGTTTCTCTGATCATTCACCCCAATACCTGACCACGAGTTTTTTTTATTAATAAGACCTTCTAAGATTCGTGCTTCACCTTCCACTAGTGCTTTAGCAGGACTTTGGCTCCCTGTCCCTATAAGGGAATCCCTGGCCTGCCACACTCTAGATACAGGCTCTGCTAAATCTTACCTGAGCCACACCCCAGCCCCTCACTGGTGGACTCTAGGCAGGGGCTCTACCACTGAGCCACACCCCCAGCCCCTCACTGGGGGATTCTAGGCAGGGGCTCTACCAGTGAGCCGCACTCCCAGCCCCTCACTGGGGGATTCTAGGCAGGGGCTCTACCACTGAGCCACACCCCAGCCCCTCACTGGGGGATTCTAGGCAGGGACTCTACCACTGAGCCGCACTCCCAGCCCCTCACTGGGGGATTCTAGGCAGGGGCTCTACCACTGAGCCGCACTCCCAGCCCCACTTCCACTGTTTAAATCCCTGCCCAGGCTCCTCCCTGAGTCTGCATTCCTTCCTAAGCCCTTTGACCCTGAGTTCTGCTTTCCCCCACAGTCACCCTTAGTACAGAAGGCTTCCTGCTAGTTATCTACGCGATGCAAATGTGTAAACATCTATGTGGAAAGCCCTGTTCTTGCCTTTGGAGACAAACATGAAGGGTGAGCTGTCCATCTTAACAAATGTACATTCTAGAAGACAGACACACAGTGGGGAAGGGCGGAGATAACAGAGGAGTGGAGGAGAGAGTTACCAGGGAAGCCTCCTGCCATGGTGACTTCTGAGTGAGACCTTTGGAAAGGGAACCAGATGAGCTGAGAAATGAAGGAAGACTCCTGGGGAGAGTGCAAAGGCCCTGAGGTAGGACTGGCCACAGCAAGCACAAGAGCCAACCAGTGAGCCGGACTCTGGGGAGGGACAACACTTGATAGGGGAGATCCCCTAAATACAGCACAGTCCTTTCCTCTTGAGGCCCTGATCACCTGTTGTTCCCAGGGCAATTTGAGCCCATTCGGCCTAATCGAACGCACAACAGAAACAAAACACTGGATTCACAAGATGCCTCAGCGGCAAGGGTGCTTATCTCATAGCCTGAATACCTGTGTTCAAGCCCCAGAACTCACCACGCAGTGGTGGCACACGCCTTTAATCCTAATACTCAGGAGGCAGAGGCAGGCAGACCTCTGTGAGTTCGAGGCCAGCCTGGTCTACAGAGCAAGATCCAGGACAGGCACCAAAACTACACTGAGAAACCCTGTCTCAAAGAAAAAAAAAAAAAAACACAAAAGAACAAAAATAGCCAACTCCCACAAGTTGTCCTCTGATCTCCGAATACAGATTGCCACGGGCATGCATCAAGCACACGCATATAACTAACAAATGTAATTTTTTTTATTTTATTTTATAACAAATGTAATTTTTTAAAAATATCGGTAAAGGGGCTGAAGAGAGCCCCGTGCTTAACAGCACTACCTGGGACAGGGTGTAGTGGTGCAAACCTTTTACTCAAGCTCTGGGAAGGATCTCTGTGCATTTGAGGTCACTGGTCTACATAGTGAGTTCCAGGACAGTCAGAGCCACATAGAGACATAGAGACCCTGCCCACCCCCTCAAACAAACAAACAGAAAACAGAGAAAACAAAACAAAATGCTTGCTGGTCTTCCAGAGGACCAGTTTGGCTCTAGGCGCCCACATCACATAGTTCACACTCACCAGTGTCTCCAGTCCCAGAGCATCCAGTGCCCTCCCTTCTCTGGCCGCTGCACGTGCACATAAGTAAAAATAAAATAAATCTTTAAAAAATATTGGCAAAAGCCAGGTGGGGTGCCACATCTCTTTAATCTCCTCGTGTCTTTTTTAAAAAATGATTTATTTATTTTTATTTTATGTGCATTGGTATTTCACCTGCATGTCTGTCTGTCTGTCTGTGAGGGTGTCAGATTCCCTGGAGGTAGAGTTACAGGCAATTGTGAGCTGCCACGTGGGTGCTGGTAATTGAACCCAGGTCCTCTGGAGGAACAACCAGTGTTCTCAACCACTGAGCCATCTCTCCAGCCCCTAATCCCCTCATGTCTTTAATCCCAGGCGGGCTGATCTCTGTGAGCTCAAGGCCAGCCTGGTCTACATAGTGAGTTCCAGAACAGCCAGAGCTACATAATGAGACCCTGTCTTTGAGAAAAAAAAAAAAAAGAAGACAGCGTTAATTGAACACTTAGCAAGTTGTAAACACTTTCCATTGATAACTCAATACCAAGAGACCTCCATTTTCTGGATGAGGACACTGAGACCCAGAAATGTGAAATGATCCATGGTCATGCAACTGGAAAGTGGCAGAGTCCAGGGCAAACCAGTTACTCAGCCCCACCAAATAACTCCTGTGGCTCCCAGGCCTGGCCAGATCTTGCGGGTTACCCGGATGAAGACACACCAGTGCAGAGGACTTTTAGGAGCACTTTACAATCAAGTCAATGCAGGGCAGGATATTGTACATCACTGCCTGGAAGAAGGCCAAGCACTCGGTGTCACCCTTAGCCTGGCACTCCTGAACCACCCAGGTTAGAGAAGGGAGGCAGGTGGTACCAGATGCTGGGTGTGGCCTGAGGCTCTAGTCACCCAGAGGTGACTTTTGGGTGTGTCACCCAGTTCACTGAGCTCAGAGTCCTGCCCCCTGCCCTTTCTGGAAGAAACAGCCAGGCTTTCCGTAAACACTTGGAGGAGTGGACGCTAATCCACCCGGAGCTTTTGAAACTGCTCCCAGAGGTTGAACTCAGACTATCTACAGAATTCTCAGTACAAGGCCAGAGAGCCATTGCAGTGGATAGCAGCGGCGGCCAAGCCTAAAGACCCAAGTTCGCTCCCTGGGACGCACACGGTAGAAAGTGAGAACTGATTCCCACAGGTTGTCCACTGACCTCCACACACTCAAACACATCCACATACAACAAATAGTAAGTGTAACAAACTTTTGAAAGAAAACAACAGGGGCACTAACAAAAAGGAGTAGGGCGTGGCTGTCCATGTCTGTCTCAGCACTCTGGAGGTGGTTTGAGGATCACCAGTTCAAGGTCACCCTCTATTTTGTAGGGAGTTCAAGGCCAGCCTGGGCTACTTGAGACCCCATCACAAAAAAAAAAAAAAGAGGAAGAAGAGGAAGATGCATGCAGCCAGCCACGGTAGGCCCCACACGGTGCCAGCCATGCACTTTTCTAGGGTCCTTTGGCCCATAGCTTCGCGCTTGCTCACGAACTTGCCAGCTGGGTGGCGTATCCATCCCCTCCTTCCACCGTGCCTTCCCCCGGCTGCAGCCTCTTACTGGCCGTGACTGCGCATGCGTGCCGACGCCCCCTCCAGCCCCGGATGGGAGGAGGGGGATGGAAGTGAGGTTGGGCCCCGCGGCTTTGCTGGTCTCCTCCTCTCTCTCCTTCCCTCGGGCGGCGTCTCTCTCGGCGCTCACAGGGCGGTGCAGATCCGAAGGTTGCAAGATGGCACACAGGTTTAGCTGAGACGGGAGGGTTCCGGAGCCCCACCCCCGGGAAGAGGCCGCCCTGCAGGTGAGGAGGGCAAGATCCTGGTCCCCTGGAGATAGATTGGGGGCAGGACACCAGGATCTCTCCGCGGACCGAACGTAGACTTGGGTCCGGGTGTCCTGGTTCTGGAGGAGTGCCTGCGATGCCAGACGTTTGAGACTCCCTCCAGTGAAAGTCTGTTCTGGTTCTCTAGGTGGCTCTACACACACCTTCCTTTTCGTCTTTTTCTCCAGGTCTCCTTGTCCTCTGAGGTTCCCAGTTCTATACCAGGGATGCGATTTATCGACCAGAAGGACAGGGTGGACACCGCATCCATGGACTGAGACTAAAGGCAGGGTAAAGTTACCCCCTTTCCACTTGAAATCCCTCCTACTGCACTCGGAGGGCCCACCTCTAGGACAGTGTGTCCAGGGGCACGCCCACTGAGCTCAAAAACCCGCCCCTGGGTTTGGGTGGCGCGGCCACTGACTGTGATCCTTTTTGTATAGCCCCGCCCCTCCCAGGTTTAGCAGTCCCGCCCACTCCGAAATAGCCCCCACACCCCCCAGCAAAAAAAGAATCTCTTGATTTGATTTGCATATCCCCGCCCAGTGTGCGCTTAGGCTCCTCCTTCCAGCCCCGCTGCTTGGTCCTAACAGCTGACCTCCTGGTTTTAGGCTCTCACCCCTGTCTCCATGAACCTGGTAATCACCGGCTTCTTCCTCGCCCTCTGCTCTGCTGCCCCTGGTTCCTCTGCCAGCAAGATGCTGGGTGGAAGCTTGAATTCCGAGGCCAGGATCTCGGAACCTAGTCTCACTTGCCAGGACCCAGTGACCAAAGGAGGTAAAGAGCAGCCCGGGTTGTACATAGGGATCATTCCCCAGGATTGACAGCTGTGAAGAACCAACGTTAGGACCATTTGGGATTACACACGCACACACACACACACACACACACGCACACGCACACGCACACACACGAGCGCGCTTGCATGCAGGTTATGGGGGATTTCCCCATCTGCCTGGACCTCCCATTTGCCGGGGCTCAGGAAATAACAGGAGGTGCATAGGGGATAATGTGGGATTATGGGGAGTACTAGAAATGAACACTTTAGTAGGTTTCGGGACCAAGGTTGGCAACTCTTTTTTGGCAGCCTTTGAGGAGGCCAAGATAGAACGTGGGGTCAGAGGGCAAGCAGACGTGAGGTCCCATCCTTAATGGGACCCCAGTGTGACACTTGCCTGCTCAGACACTTTGAGATGTCCCTCTGGTATACCGTGGTAGCTCAGGCCTCTAATCCCAGGATTCGGGAGACAGAGGCGGGGGATCTCTGTGAGTTTGGGGCCAGTTTGGTCTGCAGAGCGAGATCCAGGCCAGCCAGGGGTGAGGCTGTTTCAGAGAGAGTGGGGAGGGGAGACAGAGCCTGGCCTGGGCCCTGGGAGTGCCTGTTACCAGAAGCTCATCAGCTCTCCTGTCCCCAAGTTCCCCACCAGGACCTGCTGAAACTCAGCCAGCCCGGTGCATCTGGGAGCGTGCCCTCCCGGCCCCGCCGGCGGCCCCCACCCCAGCGCCCGCACCGCTGCCCGGACTGCCCCAAGGCTTTCTCGTACCCGTCTAAGTTGGCCACGCACCGGCTAGCCCACGGCGGCACCCGCCCGCACCCGTGCCCCGACTGCCCCAAGGCTTTTTCATACCCGTCCAAGCTGGCCGCACACCGCCTCACGCACAGCGGAGCTCGCCCGCACCCCTGCCCGCACTGCCCCAAGGCCTTCGGCCACCGCTCCAAGCTGGCAGCACACCTCTGGACCCACGCGCCCGCCCGCCCCTACCCGTGCCCCGATTGCCCCAAGTCCTTCTGCTACCCCTCCAAGCTGGCGGCCCACCGCCACACGCACCATGCCACCGACGCCCGCCCCTACCCTTGCCCGCACTGCCCCAAAGCCTTCTCGTTTCCCTCCAAACTGGCGGCCCATCGCCTGTGTCACGACCCCCCAACTGCGCCCAGCAGCCAGACCACTGGCAACCACCGATGCTCCAGCTGCGACCAGGCCTTTGGCCAGAGGCGCCTCCTGTTAGTTCATCAACGCAGCCACCACCAGTCCGAGGGCCAGGGAGAGAGGGAGTGAGCAGTGGGTCCTCACACCCCCTCGGCCTCCATCACGTGTCAATAAAGACCTGGAATTTCTAAGCCCTGCTTTATGTGTGGACTTCCCTTTTACAGGGAGAAAGAAAGGGTCTTGATACATGTAGCCCAAGCTGGCCTGGAACTCTCCGTCTTCTTGTGTGGCCTTCCAAATCCCGGGTTCCAGTTATGTACCCCCCATGCTCGTTTGGGATTGGCTATATTGGAATCTGGTTTAGAGGGTTGGGAAAAACTCTATTCCTGTGGAGAGGCAGGTGTCATCAGGTTGGCACTGGATTCAAACCTTGATCACTGGCCCCACCTGCTCCCCTACACACACACACACACACACACACACACACACACACACACACACACACACACACACATTTGTATGGCAACGGTAAAAAGCCTGCTGGCATCTTGGGTTGGTGAGGCATACGGGCACACAGGCTCTTTGCTTACTGTTGAAAGTAACTCGGTGCTTCTGCCTTGGCCATAAGGCATTTACAACATGCACTTATTTGTTGCAGGGATTTATCTCGTACGCTCAAGCCTGTAGTAAAGGCTTAAGGGGACAGCACTGTGGTGTGGCCACACTGGGGCCAGTAAACAGAGGGGAATGTGTGGCTGTAGGAAAGAAGCCAGAACTGTGTATACAAAGTGCCCTGAGCTCAGGAGGTGATAGGGGCCAAAACAAAGGACAGACCACCAGCAGCACACATACTGGAACAAAGCTGGAGTGCCTCTGAATCTCTTGGGGACCTTGGACAAGGTTTGTAACTTCTCAGGACTCAGGTGCATTATCTGGGAGATAGGACTTTGTGTTTGTGGGATATTTTATTTTATTTTATTTTTTGGACAGGGTCTCATGTCTCCAGGCTGTCCTTGAACTTACATGGTGCTGGGGATTGAACCAGAGCCGAATGCTAGGCAAGCATTACACAAACAGACTCGCACACTTTTTTCTTTTCTTTTTCTGTGTGTCTGAGCATTTTGCCTGCATTCATGCATGTGCATCACATGTGTACCTGGTGCCTGTAGAGATGAGAAGAGGGGGTTAGATCCCCTGGAACATTAGAGAGGGTTGGGAGCCGCCATGCCGGAGCAGAACCCTGGTCCTTTGCACAAGCAACAAGTGCTCTTAACCACAGAGCCATCTGTTAAGCCCCAATAAACACACCCTTTCTCCCCCCGGCCCTTTTGGCTGTTTATCTTTTTTCATTTTATTTTTTTTTAAGATATGGTCTGTGTAGCCTTGGAATTCACGATTTAGATCAGGCTGCCTTCAATTTCTGAGACCTGCTTGTGTCTGCCTCCCAAGTGCTGGGATGAAGTGTGTGCCACCACACCTGGTCCCCTTTTTGGTGTTTTAAGATAAGGCCTTATTCTGTAGCCCAGGCTGGCCTTAAGCTTATGGCAATTCCCCTGCCATGGCCTCCTGAATGGGGATTGCAGGCGTTTGCCAACACTCTTGGTGTAGCGGGGATGCTGTAAACGGTGTGGAAGAGAAAGCTGTCCTGCCAGCACAGTGAAGCGTTTGAAGTCTGGAGTCCGTAAGGATGAGGGAATTGATGTTGCCTACACCTGTGTTCTGTAGCTCTGAATTAAACACCTACCGCGTGTGGAGCCCTGCATGGGGCACTAAGGGTACCACGGTGAAGACCCGGTCTAGAGACAGTGGACACTAGTCAAGTAGTGGCCCAAACCAAAACAAAACGGGGCTGGCAAGATTGGTCAGCCTGACGACCTGGGACCCACATGGGGTGGGGGACCGACTTCTGCAAGCTGTCCTTTGACCTCCATGTGCATGCTGTGGTACATGTACCCCCTCCCCCCATGCACACACTAAATAAATAAATGTAATAACAAAACCGAGCTGGGAGTGGTGCCACACACCAGTAGTTCCAGCACTCGGGAGGCAGGAGGATTGCTAAAGTTCAAGGCCAGACTGGTCTACATAGCAAGTTCCAGGCCAGCCAGGGCTATAGTGTGAGGCCTTGTCTACAAATAAAATATACTAACAACACACATGCTAGGTCTACTTGCAAGAACAAGTCTGAGAGGCTTGGCACACTGCTTTCCAGACACGGGAAGATGGGAAGGCTGCAGTAGTAACATCTGTGGTCTTAAATGCTCACAGTCCCATGCTTGTACAGACATATGCCAAGCCTTACCTGTCTCCTGGGGATGACAAAATATTCATGTGAGGAGCCAGACAATTTACAGGATTTGTTGTCTTCCTCCATCACGAGGGTCCCAGGGATCGAACTCGGGTTGTCAGACTTGGCAGCAAGCACCCTTACCCACTGAGCCGTCTCCCTGGCCACCTGGTTTTTGTTTGTTTGTTTGTTTATTTAAGAGATGAAAGGAGAGGTTTTCTTGGCTAGGTTTTCAGATAATACATCATGATGTAGAAAGTGTGATGGCTGAGGCATTCAGGGGTTAGATCCATGGCAGTGGGAACATTCAAGATTATAGCATGGCCTGCTCATGCCGTCTTAGGAAGCAAGAGGTGTTTTGGTTTTTGAAATAGTTATTTCAAGCTGGCCTTACATGCATTATGTAGCTGAAGATAACCTGGACCTTTTTTTTTTTTTTTTTTTTTTTTTGAGACACTATGTAGGCCTGGCTGGCCTGGAACTTACCATGTAGACCAGGCTAGCCTAAAATTCAGAGATCTGTCTGCCTCTGCCTCCCAAGTGCTGGAATTAAAGGTATGCACCACCACCACCCGGCTCTTAGGTTTTTTTTAAGTTTAGATTTTACTCTTTTATGTGTATGGGTGTTTTGCCTGCATGTATGTCTGTGTACCATGTGCATGCCTGGCATCTGCGGTGATCAGAGGAGGGCACTGGATCCTTTAGGACTGGAGTTATAGGTGGTTGTGAGCCATCACGGGGGTGCTGGGAATTGAACCTGGGTCCTCTGCAAGAGCCAGTGCTTTTAACCGCTGAGCCAACTCTCCAGCTCCTAAGTTCTATCCCCCCCCCCCAGGGTGGTATCTCACTATGTAGCCCAGGCTAGCATCAAGCCTAGAGTCTACCCGCTAAATGCATATGCCACCTAAACCTGGCTTGAGATACAAATCTGAAGAGTAAAATCCCAAATGTTTAGATGGAAGGGAGAATTATATTAGAGACCAGAAGCAAAGAACGTTTATTTGAAACCAAAAATAGAGCACCCGTCCTGAAAGGAGAGAGACGAGCCTGACCACGCGCAGGGGCAGTGACACCCGGGAGGAGACTCGCGCCTGCAAGCATGTTAGCTGGTGCACTGGGACCTGAGGAGGTGAGGAGCCAAGAGCTGAATGTTCCGGAAGTGGACAGAGGAAGTGAGCAGGCCGTTGGGCTGCAAGCCGCTGGGGAAGCCTTGGAGGAGCGGGGGAGAGGTGGGATCCTCCCTGCCCAATCCTAGCTGTGGGCCCTCTCTCGGGGTTGAGACCTGTCCATGAAGGGTCCTTCCAAAGCTCTCACAGGAGCAGTGGTTGCACAGAAGTGAGGCACGAGGGGTGCATATTGTATAAGGCCAGCACTTATAAAAGTGGAGAAAGGAGGGTCAATTCAAGGTCACCCGCAGCTACCTATGGAGTTTGAGGCCAGCCTTGGGCTATGAGACTGTCTCCAAAACAAAGAAACCAAAGGCATTGGTCTGGTCCAACCTTACCTTGTACAGATGGTGAAAATGAGGCCGAGAGGACTTACCCAGGACCAACAGGACAGTGGCTGAGTGGGTGGAAGCGGGTCTCTCGGCAGGCAGCCCGATGCCCTACTTCCTGCCGCTCCTCCCAAGGCAGCTTGTGCATGTCCCAGTCCCTGCAGAGGGCTGGTACTCCTTTGAGAGTATAACCTTCCTCATAACCCTATCTAAATGACCCCGTCCTGCCCACTGTTTGCCATGCTGCCCACACTGCATTTGCCACTGCCCAACGCTGCGCTGAACACCTGCTCACTCCCCTGCCCTGCCACTGCCAAGCACTCGGGTCCCATGAAATCAGGGACTAGCGTCTTTCTTCACTCTACATCCCTAGCATCTCACAGATGGAGGACGTGTCATTTCATGGTGCTGGGAATGTGTGGGTACAGCATGTGGGGAGGGAGTATGAGGCGGGAAGGATGAAGGCTCTGGGTCAGTGGTTATTAAATAAATCAGTGCAGGGCCTGGGACACAGCCCAGTGGAGTGGTTGAATGTGAAGGCCTGCATCCAATCCCCAGTACTGTCACCAAAATAGTGATCAGCCCAGGAGGGGATCAGGTCACCAGGGAAGTCTTTCTCTGTGTAGCTCTGGCTGTCCTGGAACTCTCGCTGTAGACCAGGCTGGCCTTAAACTCAAAGATCTGCCTGCTTCTGCCTCCCAAGTGCTGGGATTAAAGGCACACACTGGCTTTTTTTTTCTCTCTTCAAGTTCACCAAGACAGTCTCGTGTCACCCAGGCTGGCCTCAAACTTGCTATGTAGCCAAGGATGACTGACCTTAAATTCCTGATCCTCCTGCTTCTACATCCCAGACACTGTGATGACAGATGTGTACCACCCCATGTGGCTCATCACAGGGTCTTTGTAAGACAGGGAAGCAGGAGAGGCATGAGCCCAGTGATGTGAGGTGCAAAGACGCAGCCACCTCAGACCAGCTGTGGGCAGCCCCTGTGGGCTGGAAAACGTTGCCTGCTCAGTCACACCTATTTTAGTCTAGACACCCACTCTGGATCCGAGACCCCCAGACCTGCTGGAGAACACTTGTCTGAAGCCACCAAGTCTGTGGCCCCTGACTCCAGTGCCGGGAGTGCGGCTGGACCAGACGAGCCATGACCCACTGACCAGGTACACAAAGCCCCAAAACAGGGTCAGTGTGGCCAGCCAGTCAGCGAGACAGTGGAGGGCGGAGAAGATCGGTGACCCTTGGCTGGGTAAAGTTAAGTTAGCAAAGGGCCTGGCACGTCCAAGAGGAGGTTACCCAGGGTCAGGTCTCAACTCTGACCCTGGCCTTTGTCCTGCTTAAAGCCCCTTCTGGCCTCACCCCAGAAGGTCCAAACTCCTAGGCCTGGAGTTCACAGCCCTCCAGGGCAGGCCCATCCAAAAGAACTTTCCCTGGAGAGGGTGTGTTTTGAAGTTTGCAACCCTGTGACCGAGGACTGATGTCAGCCTCCCTGCTGCCTTTCTCTCCCTCTTCTTGGCCCTTTTTTTTTTTGGTGGTGCGGGGGAGTAAGGTCTCACAATGCACCTTATGCTGGCCTCAACACTTATTGATCCTCCTGTCTCTGCCTTCAAGAACCAGGGCCACATACCATTACTCTTTTATATTCAAAGGCTACCTGTGTCTAGTGGCAACCACAATGGCTGGCACCTGAGGACTGTGCTCATCTTTCCAGCCAAATCTACCCCAGAGCTCCTCCCTGTGAGCAGCCGCAGGCTCCGCCCACCTCCTCAGGCTCCGCCCACCACTGGCTTTTGTCCCTGTCACCCCCGTTCCTTTTCCCCTGATCCCCTTACAGCCCTGTTCCATTCCCGCCTTCAGCTTGGAGTCTTGAAGGGGCCTCCAGGACTTGGATAACCTGATGACAACAGCCTTCCTTCCGCCCACCCTGCCTCCCAGGTGGATGTAAACTATGCTGGCAATGCCACAGTGTCACCAGGAAAGGGACCTGGGAAGCCGGCACATGCTCTGATCATCCACGCCTCCAGCTCAGAGCCCACTGAGAGACACCCAACGCAATGGATGGCGCAGATCAGGGAGAGGGACAGTGCTGAGTGAGAGTTTCCACTCCCCACTCCCGTCAGCACAGGACTGCAGAGCCACTGGGGAGAGCAGCTTCTCAGTGGATCTCCGGTGGAGGGGCCCGCCCGCCTCTTCCCAGAGCCCTGGCCAGCACCGAGGGCAAGCTGACCCCAAGCCGAGCTGGAGCCCCCTGAGGAACAACTGCTCCAAACAAAGTCTCCTTTATTAAACCCACGTGTGCGCACACGGGTGTGCACGCTCAGGCCTGGGGCATACATCACATGTGCACACAGGCCTGTGCATACATCACACGTGCACACGGGCGTGCACGCTCAGGCCTGGGGCACCACCCCATACAGCTGGTGGGGGAGTAATTTCTGCTTCTCGTTACAGCTGTAGATCCAGCGGGGCCGGACGAACGCCAGGGAAGGGTTGTCCATCAGGGCCTGGGGGAGAGGGCCACATGGGAATACGTGGTCAGAGGACAGAGGGACACCAAGGTGGGTCGGGGTTCCCCACCTCTGGCCCCCCGGGGCTCACCTCCTCAAAGCTGGGGTCCCACTCCTGGGCTGTGATAACAAACTGGACGCGCTCACTCATGTAGTCCTCGAGCTCCCTGGGGGAGAGAAGAGGTGTGTGTGTGTGTGGGGGGGTGAGCGGCCTGCCCACACGCTCAGGTGTGTCTCACTGTCCGATGGAGCACGTTCTTTCTCTTGTCTCTCTGGCTGAGATCCATATTAAAGTCTCTTTTTAACAGCCCCGACTCTGCTTGAGGCGGAGGGACACCATGATGCAGGGCCCTTCCAACACACAGCTCCTAGTGTTCTCCACGTGGTAGGCAGTGTCCTCTCTCCGGCCAGCTTTTCCTTCTCTTTTCTGTTGTTTTTTAGCTTGACCTCTGCCCCTTGGAGCTGCCCGTGAGACCTCCCACACAGCAGCCTTGACAAGTCACACCAGCAAAGTCCACCAGAGTGCTAACCCTCTCAGGAGTGGGAGGTGAGCAGGGCTCCACGGCACAGTGGACGGGGCTGGCACATGGACTCTGCGGCCTGTACTCGCCCTGCTGGGCACACTCACGTCACCTTCCCACAGCCCATACCCTCTGAGTCAAGCTGCCAGCCTGACCGGGACCCACCCCCAAGCCCACAACTGACCCATTGAAAGCTGTCACATATCGGATGAGCTTCCTCCTCTCATCCCCAGGGAACTCCCCGTACAGGAAGAAGTGTTTGCCCTGGAAGAAGTCTGTGGGAGAAACGGGAAAAGGGAAAACGTGAGGCCCCCAAACCCCAGACCCCGACCGGGATCGTTGAGTACTTGGGAACAGAGGACGGTGGAGGTGCTTAGACAAAGAGGAGGTGCTCACAGAGTGGGGACCCGTGAGTAGTAAATTCAGGTCTAGCCCCCATCCAAGGCGTCAGGGGCGCACACACACACACACACACACCATTGGCTTAACATTGTCAGCAACGAGTGTTAAACATACAATGTGCCAAGCTGGGCACATTGCCTTTAATCCCAGCTCTCGGGAGGCAGAGGCACGCGGATCTTTGTGAGTTCGAGGGCAGCCTGGTCTACAGAGTGAGATCCAGGACAGGTTCCAAAGCTACACAGAGAGACCCTGTCTTGAAAAAACAAACAAACAAACAAAAACCCAAAAAAAACAAAAAACAAAAAAACAAACCCCCACTCAGGTGTGCAGGGACAGCAGGGCAGCCCACAGCTTGTTTGGGGGCAGGGTGGGGAGTCTTGAATCACTGGTCAGCAAATGAGGTCGCTCACCCTGGGAGGGTCACCACACAGCAAGATCACACTGGTGGGGGCAGGAAGCTGTCGGCAGGGGTGAAGAGGGAGCCCCAGGAAGAGGAGTGCTGGGGGGGGGGTTAAGGCACAGCAGTGACCCTCAGAAGTCAGGGACTTCGAACCTGGGAGCTCTGGAATCGGCAGGTCAGCCTCCATGGAAGCCTCGTTGTCTGTGTTCTCATCTGTGGAGCCAGCATACGGGTCCTCACCATTCTCCCCTGGAGCTGGGGGCTGCCTCTGCTCCCTCTGCTTGGCCACCCTGGGGGGTCAAGCCGTGTGGAGAGAGCACTCAGGGAGCAGATGCCCACACCCAAGGCCAGGCCACACCTGCCCAACCCAGCCTACCTCCTCAGCTCATCCTCGGTGTCCCCGGAATCTTCCGCCCCGTTGTCCTGCCCTTCTGCGGTAGCAACTCAGTCAAAAGGCTGTTTTTCTGGGGAGTCTGTTAATACCCCTCTCAGAATGGCACCCGAAAATAGAGCCAGGGGCTGCGAACTCAACCTCAGCTGCCTTCTCTATCTAGTTTTCTGGACCCACAATGCCCTCCTTCACTCCACTCATCGAGATACAGCCCTTCCCCCTCAGACTCAGAAATCTGTACCCTAGTCCTGTCCCAAGACCCAGGATCCAGGCCCAGCTCTCCTCCCTCACACCCAGGGCTACAGGCTCCAGCCCTCCTCCCTCAGACCCAGGATCCAGGCCCAGCCCTCCTCCCTCAGATCCAGGGCTACAGGCTCCAGCCCTCCTCCCTCACAGACACAGGATCCAGGCCCAGCCCTCCTCCCTCACAGACTCAGGATCCAGGCCCAGCCCTCCTCCCTCACAGACACAGGATCCAGACCCAGCCCTCCTCCCTCAGACCCAGGAGTCCAGGCCCAGCCCTCCTCCCTCACAGACCCAGGATCCAGGCCCAGCCCTCCTCCCTCAGACCCAGGGGTCCAGGCCCAGCCCTCCTCCCTCAGACCCAGGGGTCCAGGCCCAGCCCTCCTCCCTCAGACCCAGGGATCCAGACCCCAGCCCTCCTCCCTCAGACCAGGGGTCCAGGCCCAGCCCTCCTCCCTCAGACACAGCAGTACAATAGGAGTACAGACCTCCCCCTCACTCAGACTCTAACCTGACTGTTCCCCCTCAGTGTCACTATTGTCCTGGGGTCCTGGTGAGGGTACTTTGGTGTCTTTTGGAGTTGGTGGTCTTTGGGGTGAGCTGGGTCCTGCTGCCTCGGTCTTGGCTTTGGCCTGGGGCCGCTGAGGAAGGAGGGCTGGGTGAGGTCAGAGGCAGTATGAGGCTGTGGACAACCAGCAGGGGGCAGAAGCAGGAAGGCTGAGGACTCCCAGCACTCCCTCCTGGCCGGGTCGGGGCGTCGGACCTTTCGGGGAGGCTTGGGAGTTTCCTCTTCACCGCTCTCACTGTGAGAGTCCCCCTCGTCCTCACTGCTGGAGCCAAGACCGGCCAGGAGGTACCTAGGGAAGAACAGGCCCTCAGGCACAGAACTAACGAAGAACGCTGCGGGTGGGGGGTGGCTGTAATAGGAACCCACTGCCCTGCCCCCTCCCAGCTCCAGGGGGGGTCCACAGCATGCCAGGGGAAGATCTGTTCCATTTGAGAGAGAAAAGAGCAAGGGGAGACGGTCTTCCCTTTGGGAATCGAAGTAGGATGCCCAGCAACAGGGGGAAATTCTCAAAAGCAAATTCAGGTGGAACTCTGAATCTGGGGTCCCTGCATCTGCACATTCAACCAATCACAGATCAAAGCGGCATTTGTACTGAACATCCACAGACCTGCTCATTACTCCCAACAACACGGTGTGAGAAGGGCTTACATGGCATCCACATAATGCTGGTTATAAACCACCTGGAGATGATTCAGAATATGAGAGGAATCTGGCCTGGTGGGCAGGTCTGTAATCCCACTATTCAAGAGGCTGAGGCAGGAGGATTGCAAGTTCAAGGCTTGCCTGGGCTATAGAGTAAATTTAAGACCAGCCTGGGTAATTTAGTAAGACCCTGCATCAAAATAAAAACTGGAAAGGCTAGGGACACAGCTTAGTGGTAGAGCCCCTGCCTAGAATCCCCCAGTGAGGGGCTGGAGTGTGACTTAGTGGTAGATCCTTGCCTAGAATCCCCCAGTGAGGGGCTGGGGGTGTGGCTCAGTGTAGAGCCCCTGCCTAGAATCTCCCAGTGAGGGGCTGGGGGTGTGGCTCAGTGGTAGAGCCCCTGCCTAGAGTCCCCCAGTGAGGGGCTGGGGTGTGGCTCAGTGGTAGAGCCCCTGCCTAGAATCCCCCAGTGAGGTGCTGGGGGTGTGGCTCAGTGGTAGAGCCCCTGCCTAGAATCCCCCAGTGAGGGGCTGGGGGTGTGGCTCAGTGGTAGAGCCCCTGCCTAGAATCCCCAGTGAGGGGCTCAGCAGTTGCTTAGCATATGGGAAGACTTGGGTTCAGTTCTTAGCAACACACAGACACAGACACACACACAGAGACACACACACACACACACACGTGAGGCTGGAGAGATGTTTCAATGGTTAAGAGCTTATACTGCTCACAGAGAACCCCAAGTTGGGTTCCCAGCACCCACACCAGGTGCACAACTGCCTCTCACTCTGGCTTTAAGGGATCTTGACACCACTGGCCTCCTCAGGTACCTGAGCACACACATGCAGACCCCCAACACAGATGATATATGCACATACACATAATTTAAATAACAATAAAATATTTTAAAAGTATGTGGAAAGATATGTGCACTTTTTATGTAAATACTCTTTTGCGGCTTATAAGCAACTTCTGTATATGCATATTTTTAAAGATTTACTTATTTTTATTTTACACGTGCAAGTGTTTGCCTGCATGTATGTCTGTGCATCATTTGTGTGCCTGGTGCCCACAATGACTAGAAGAAGTCACGGGAAGTCATGGGATACTCTGAGACTGGAGTTAGATGGTTGTGAGCTGCCATGTGGGTGCTGGGAATTAAACCCGGGGCCTCTGGAAGAGCAGCCAGTGCTTTTAACCACTGAGCCATTTCTCCAGCCCCAACCACGTTCAGAATCTTGATCCTCAATAGATTGTGTGTGTGCTGAAACTAGGCCCCACTCTGACATACTAGGAACCATCAGGACACACCTGTGGGATAAGAGAGCCCACAAACGCCCTCACATTCCTTCAGGATGATCACGGAGCTGTGGTCGATGTTGACACCAGAGAACTAGCTTCCAGGGCTATGTGGATCCCAAACGCAATATGGAGTCCACTGCCTCCTCCAGGTCAGTGGACCCTCCCACCGTCCTGTCTTAGTCCCTCGGACCCAAGTACCCAGGTTGAGCCCTGCTTCTGAACACTCTCACGTGACATCCTGTGACCCAGGTCTCCTGGCCCCAGCCCTCGGCGCTTGGATCTGACTGCTCTCCTCCACCCCACAGGTCATCCCGAGCTCCTGCTGTCGGCAGCCCTGTGGATCTTCCACCTCCCACTGCACCCTCAAGGGGACGGACGGACGGACGGACGGACGGACTGACGGACGCCGCTGTCGGTCCCCGCACACCCAGCACGCCCTCTGCCTGTCTCGCCCAGCTCTGGACCAGAGGCAGGCAGGTGTGCGAGCTGCCTGAGAGGCGGGACATAGCGAGGCCTCACCTCCGGGAGGGCAGCCGGCGGCGCATGCGGTGACAGTCCAGCACCCACTCTTTCCGCACAATGCGGCCTCCGAGGCCCAGGACCTGGCTGTACTTGGGAGTGTTGGCAAAGGCACACCTGGGGGGTGCAGAAGAGGGACGTCAGAGGTGATCTGAACAAATGCGGCAGTGTGAGAGACAGCAGAGTCGGGGCTGAGGGAGGCAGGAGGCAGAGAAAGCCAGGCAGCCTCCAGAGAACTACGGAGGCAGAGACAGACAGACAGAGACAGACCAGGAACAGTGAAACCAAGAGGACATGCAGGGCAGCACAGGGAACGGGGAGGGTGGCATGGAGGGTTGGAGGCCTACACGAGGTGTGTGCTGTCCGGGGTCCAGTCTGGCCGATACTTGGCCCCCAGCTCCAGGGCTTTGTCCCGAAGCTCTGAGCGGAAGGGGTTCTGGAAGCCACTGAGCACCACCACCACACCCTGAAGAATCTTCCCCAGCTCCTGGGGGCCAGCTCGAGCTACCCTGGGCTCCGTGCTGTCTCCGCGGGGCTTCCCTGGGACTGCCTTCTGTGCTGGGGTAGAGGCTGGCGCTGCAGCTGGGGCACGACCAGGAACAGGCACTGGGAGTCAGAGAACGGAGGTCCAGTTGGTACCCTGGGGCTGTGCATCGGGAAGCACCAGCTCCCACAGGCCACGGGAACCAAGGCCCTCCTGCCTCCTTTCTTAGGCCCCGGCCCTTCCTTTGTGACATACAAGCCCGGGTCTCTCAGAATTAAGGAATCCAGTTTGCTTACATTTGGGTCTCTTGAGGGCGGGTGGCCCTGCTGAAGGTTTGCTGGGAGGCTTCCTGTCTTCTAGATTCAAGTCTGGTTTCCTCTTCCCTTTGGGAGACTCCTGAGGCTGAGGAGGCAGGGATGGGTTGGGGCTTCCAGCTTCTCTCACTCTCCACACCCCCAGTGTCTGACGCCCTCACCTTGGAAGAGCTACCCAAAGCCTTGGAGACTGGAGAGGCAGAGGAGGCCGCACTAGAGGCCTGCAGCGTAGCTGCCGCGTAGCTGGGTCCTGCTGGGTCGCTAGCAGAGGCTACAGAGGGAGACAATGGACTGAGGATGAGAGGTCAGAGCCAAAGACACTGCAGCCCTATCTACCAGCTATCATGTCACCCTCCAATCCGGAAGTGACCCAGGGCTCTAGACCTCCCTCCTCGAGGCTCAGCAGTCCAGGCCCCAGCCTTCCTTCCTGGGCAGCCTCGGCCCCGGACCCAGGATCTAGCCATGCCCCTCATAAGACAAGCCAAGTGTCACACAGCTGAGGCTGAACTCCAATTTTCTAGCTAACCGAGGAGGACCAGAACCGTCTGATCCTCCTGCCTCGTCTCCCCGTGCTGCGGTTTCCGGCACGGGCCTAGGAGGTGAACCCAGGGCTCCGTGCTAAAGGGAGCCCTCTGTCACCGCCAGCCGCAGCAACCGTGCTTCCCACACGCACCCGAGGACGGCTTGCTGATGCGGCCGAAGAAGAGGGCCCCCGGCTTCAGGGAGTTGGCACCGTCATCCTCCTCTCTCACGCGGAACTGGCCGAGCTTGGTCACTGTCACCTTCTAAGGTCCCGCAAGGTCAGTGCTGTGGGAAGGCTGTGCAGGCAGGGGGAGAGGCAGGGAGAAGGCCGTGGGGGTGACAGGTGCAGCTTACCTGGGACGGAGCCTCCGCCTCATCTTTGTCTGGAGGGCTGTGAAACCTCACAAAACTCAGGCCGTAGGGCGAGTCCTGGAACGTGAGGTGTCTGGGTAGGACAGAGCTAGGCTCTCATGCCCCTTCACGTAGGGGAGCCCTTTCCGGCTCGGTCGAAGCAGGTGCCCCGGGAGGACGATGGCGATGATAATAACATTAACCCTCACGAGCCCTAACTGCAGACAAGGTCAGGGCTCAGCCCTCACCCTGGACTGACTCTCTGACTTTCCTTGCAAATGGAAGTCAGCTGGCGGGCAGCGAGTCCACCTCCAGGCGCCCTGTCTGGGGCCACTTCTGGGATATAGAGCTACCCAGGGCTCTTTGCGCCTCTGCTGTCAGGATGCAGAAGGTAGGAGCCTGAGTTCCTGGCCCCAGCATGATGGCATTAACCAGAGCCTGATGGGCCTCAATTCACCCTCTAACACTCCCTCCAGGGAACTAAGCTGCTTGTCACTGGAGGGCCTCCAACCCATGGCTGGAAACACAGAGACCAGGACCCGACAGGGACAGCAGCTGTCCACTGCTCCCAGCTCTCTGGACTCAGATGGGCCTCTCAGCCACCCCCTGCGCCGGGCCATGTCTGCTTCCACACTCGGTACCTTGCTGTATGGCTGGCTGCACACGATTTTAACGCGGTCCCAGCGCTTCTCGGCTGCTGCCCGGACTAACTTGTCAGGTCCAAACATACGAACTCGGTTCAGGTTCGAGCCACTTCGGCTCTCAGACGGGGACATGAAAGAGGAGGTGACCAGAAGGACCTAGGCAGGAGACAGCACAACAAATGAGGAACAGAGCGACGTGACGATACAGAGGACACACGCCGGAAGGAGTCCCCAGCAGAGGAGGAGTCTTGGTGAGAGGCGCAGGACTCGAATGCTCTTTGGAAATGCACAGCCGAGTCAACTCGAAGGCCAGGAGAATTACAGGAGGCCAAAACTGAGAGACCCAAATCCAAAGGTGGAGAGAGCAGCGTCAATTATCAAGGGATGCTTCCCCGCCCACGCCCACAGGCAGGGGTGGCCCTGTGCCGTCATGGGTGGCTCTGCTGAGAGGAGAGAGGAGGAGCGAGAGGCTGCAAGCGGCAGGACAGAAGGCTCCCCTCGGCCACGGGCAGATGTTGGGAGCACTACCGCAGATATTGGGAGCACTACCCCAGCTCCCTCTGCCGCATCCCGTGAACCCAGTCTGCAGCATCCTACACTAACCCCCTCTCTGTGACACAGCAGTAGAAAGGGTGGGGCACACCCGCTCTTCAGGATCTGTCTCAGCCCCCATGACCCCTCTACACTGTGGCAGATGTTTCCATCGTCCCAACCTACCTGCTGCGCCTCATCCCAGGGGCCAAGCTGCCCTGCATTTTCTTCATCAGACCCCAATCTTACAGTAAGAGTTGGTAACTACATTCTTATGTAAATCCTGTCCACAGAAATAATGGACATGGTCTCTGGCTCCAGGTCATGGCAGGGCCACCACAGAAGCAAGGATGTGGATAGCCCCGTCTGGACTACATAGTGAAGCCTTGTTTTAAAAATAAATACCACCAAGCTGGGCGACGGTGGTGCACACCTTTAATCCCAGCACTCGGGAGGCAGAGGCAGGCAGATCTCTGAGTTCAAGGCCAGCCTGGTCTACAGAGCGAGTTCCAGGACAACCAGGACTGTTAGACAGAGAAACCCTGTCTCGAAAAAACAAAAACAAATCAACCAAATAAATAGAATATAATGGTTCATGACTATAATCTTAGCATTGGCTACAGAGACTGACTCTGTCTTAATAATAATAATAATAATAGTAAAAGAAAGAAAGAAAGAAAGAAAGAAAGAAAGAAAAGAAATAAATGAATAAATACACACACTTATGAGGACACAGCTGCCATGACAGGGGTCCCAGAACCCACACACTGCAAACTCTGACTCAGGAAGGCCACAAATATTCAAATCATCAAACATACACTATGCATGCTTAAGAGTTCAAGGAAATATTTCGCCAGGTGTGATGACGCACATCTTTAATTCCAGCACCCTAGAGGCAGAGGCAGGCGGATCTCTGTGAGTTCAAAGCTAACCTGGTCTACAGAGTGAGTTCCAGGACAGTGAGGGCTTACACAGAGAAACCCTGCCTTGGGGGGGGGGGGGGAAGAGTTTAAGGAAACACATGGAGATACTTACAGCAGATGAAGGAAGAAATGACCATCAAAACTGACCGAGTAGGTCTGGACAACGAGAGAGCTGAGTGCCCAACACAATGGACTAAATCAAGATTGGGAGCAAGCCCCACCCTTCTGCCGTGGTTGGACCATGATGTAGCTCTGACCAATCAGACAGAACACAAAGACTTTTTCTTCCTTCTTAAAGAAAGGTGAGAGCCAGCTGGTCATGGGGTGGGGGGGGTGGGGGGGGGAACTGGCCTCTAATTCTAGTACTTAGGAGGCTGAGGCAAGATCACAAGTTCAAGACCAGTCTGAGCTACACAGTGAGATGCTGTCTCAAAAAAAGGGGGAGGGGGAGAGGTGCGGCTCAGCTGGTGTAAGTGTTTGCCTCACACACAGGAAACTGGAGTTAAATCACTTGTGCAGCATAAAATGGGCTGTGGTGCTAAACACTTGTAATCTGAGCACTCAGGAGGTGGAGAGAGGACATTCAGAGTGCAAGGCCACCCGTAACTACACAGCTATGTTCAAAGTTAGTGAAAGAGGGGTGGGAAGCCAGGTGTGGTGGCGTACCCCTGTAAGCCTGGCACTGGCACTTATGAGGTGCTGTCAGGAACAGTGTGTAAGGCCAGGCTTAATAACATAGCAAGTTTGGGACAAGCCTGGGCTACATATGACCTTTTCTCAAAAAACCACAGGGAGCATAGGATGCAGAGAGGGTGCAGAGGATGCAGGGAGGGGGCAGAGGATGCAGGGAGGGGGCAGAGGATGCAGGGAGGATGCAGAGGATGCAGGGAGGAGGCAGAGGATGCAGAGAGGAGGCAGAGGATGCAGAGGATGCAGGGAGGGGAAGAGGATGCAGGGAGGGGGGCAGAGGATGCAGGGAGGGGGAAGAGGATGCAGGGAGGGGGAAGAGGATGCAGGGAGGGGAAGAGGATGCAGAGAGGGTGCAGAGGATGCAGGGAGGGGGCAGAGGATGCAGGGAGGGGGAAGAGGATGCAGGGAGGGGGCAGAGGATACAGGGAGGGGGCAGAGGATGCAGGGAGGGGGAAGAGGATGCAGGAAGGGGGCAGAGGATGCAGGGAGAAGGCAGAGGATGCAGGGAGGGGGAAGAGGATGCAGGGAGGGGGCAGAGGATGCAGAGAGGGTGCAGAGGATGCAGGGAGGGGGAAGAGGATGCAGGGAGGAGGCAGAGGATTCAGGGAGGGGGAAGAGGATGCAGGGAGGGGGCAGAGGATGCAGAGAGGGTGCAGAGGATGCAGGGAGGGGGAAGAGGATGCAGGGAGGGGGCAGAGGATGCAGAGAGGGTGCAGAGGATGCAGGGAGGGGGCAGAGGATGCAGGGAGGGGGAAGAGGATGCAGGGAGGGGGCAGAGGATGCAGGGAGGGGGCAGAGGATGCAGGGAGGGGGAAGAGGATGCAGGGAGGAGGCAGAGGATTCAGGGAGGGGGAAGAGGATGCAGGGAGGGGGCAGAGGATGCAGGGAGGGGGCAGAGGATGCAGGGAGGGGGCAGAGGATGCAGAGAGGGGGCAGAGGATGCAGGGAGGGGGAAGAGGATGCAGGAAGGGAGCAGAGGATGCAGGGAGGGGGCAGAGGATGCAGGGAGGAGGCAGAGGATGCAGGGAGGGGGCAGAGGATGCAGGGAGGGGGCAGAGGATGCAGGGAGGATGCAGAGGATGCAGGGAGGGGGCAGAGGATGCAGGGAGGGAGAAGAGGATGCAGGGAGGGGGCAGAGGATGCAGGGAGGAGGCAGAGGATGCAGGGAGGGGGCAGAGGATGCAGGGAGGGGGCAGAGGATGCAGGGAGGATGCAGAGGATGCAGGGAGGGGGCAGAGGATGCAGGGAGGGGGCAGAGGATGCAGGGAGGGGGCAGAGGATGCAGGGAGGGGGCAGAGGATGCAGGGAGGATGCAGAGGATGCAGGGAGGGGGCAGAGGATGCAGGGAGGGGGCAGAGGATGCAGGGAGGGAGAAGAGGATGCAGAGAGGGGGCAGAGGATGCAGGGAGGGGGCAGAGGATGCAGGGAGGGGGCAGAGGATGCAGGGAGGGGCAGAGGATGCAGGGAGGGAGAAGAGGATGCAGAGAGGGGGCAGAGGATGCAGGGAGGGGGAAGAGGATGCAGGGAGGGGCAGAGGATGCAGGGAGGGGGCAGAGGATGCAGGGAGGGGGCAGAGGATGCAGGGAGGAGGCAGAGGATGCAGGGAGGGAGAAGAGGATGCAGAGAGGGGGCAGAGGATGCAGGGAGGGGGAAGAGGATGCAGGGAGGGGCAGAGGATGCAGTGAGGGGGCAGAGGATGCAGGGAGGAGGCAGAGGATGCAGGGAGGGGCAGAGGATGCAGGGAGGGAGAAGAGGATGCAGAGAGGGGGCAGAGGATGCAGGGAGGGGCAGAGGATGCAGGGAGGGAGAAGAGGATGCAGAGAGGGGGCAGAGGATGCAGGGAGGAGGCAGAGGATGCAGAGAGGGAGGGGGAAGAGGATGCAGGGAGGGGGAAGAGGATGCAGGGAGGGGGCAGAGGATGCAGAGAGGGAGGGGGCAGAGGATGCAGGGAGGGGGAAGAGGATGCAGGGAGGGGGCAGAGGATGCAGGGAGGGGAAGAGGATGCA